ATTTCTATATATTATACTTGTATAAAAATTTTATTTACGTTTATGTATATGTATTATATGTGCACGGAGAGAATTTTCTTTTAAAATTTACCCTGAAAATATGGTGATTGTGATACAATACAATATTTTAAAGATTTTTACCATGCACTTCAGTAAAATTGATCAAACTTATTTTATACTTTATTGTAGTTTTATTAATGAATGAGAGAGATTTATATTAAAATTCTTCGAAATACAATGTTGTCCCACGGCTGTCATATTTTCAGGGTAAATTCTAAGAAAAAATTCTCTCCGTGTGTGTAGGCGAAGTTAGGGAGGATTTCTTCGCAGCAAATATTACTAACATTAACATTAAGATAATCATTTAGTACGATCAATTGATCCGTCACACGACAGCAAAATCAGAATTCACATAAAAATATTAATTTCTATTGGGTCGTAATTACCATTATCAAATATTTTAATAGTTGTAAACTTAAAAAGTCGTTTTAGTGTAGAATCTCTGTTACGATTGATAGATAACGGAAGCATGTCCATCTACCACGTGACGAGTGATGTGGAAAGGCAAAGGGGAACGTTGCTTGTCTATTGCTATTTGTCACCTACCGAGTGGTGTACGATGATTTTGCATAATCGGATGGGTATTCTCGCGCGACCGAAGGTCTCGCACGATCAAAATAATTCGGCGTGTCGCGGTTTGTAAATAACCGCATGCCGCGCCTATTGTATCGCGCTCCCCAATATGCACGCGTATTCCCACGGATAACACGTGTGGGAGTCGAACGTGGTTCGTGAATACAGTCAATCACGGCAATTTGCATCTCTCCTGTCTACCGCGCGCGTTCCCTTGGCCCGCCGCACCCCCTCAGCTTTCCTCTTCCCTCGCCCGTCTCTTCCCTTGTCTCTGTGTGTTCTCATCTCCATTATCTCTATCGGCTTGTCAAACCTTGTGCCTTTGGCGCAAATCACGTCTGATTGAGATTTCGGGCCGCATTCGTGAATAGAACTTGATTTATTCCTATACACACGCACGTCGGCAGATCTCTCCTAGGTCGCGTAATTCAAGCACATTAAACCTGTGCAACACTGTTGCATTATACGAAATAATCTTTGATAAGTTAAGAAATAAACAATATTTTCAGCAACTTTTGTGGTATTCAGTTAAAACGGAGAGAAAAAAAAAGAGAAGTTTATTGCTTCGCGAACAGGTTGAATTTTATTAATAGCTGGAGGAGAATTCTGTTATTTTGCGTTATTTTCGTAATATTTTGATGTTTTTAAATATGATTTTTAATATTTTATAATTATTGAAAATTTTTTTAAACATATACGATTCCATTAGCCTCTAAGCGTCTAAATATCTTCGAATTTCTCGTACAAATACCTTTGTTTATAAAAAGCCATGTTACTTTAGGGAAACGCTGAAGTTTTGGGAGGAATTTACGTGGGGTAATAAATTCGCGAAGTTCATTCTGACGATGTTTATCGCTTCCATTACTTTCGGCGCCAGCCAAAATGGCCCCTGCAGCCGGGGCGACGTATCGCGATGCATCGAGTGCGATGATAGTTCAGAAAAATATTGCTGTAATAAATTATTTAGAATAAACCGAAGGATCGATACGCAATATCAATGTCCCCCCCGCATCAACGAAGGAACTCGCTTTGGGAATTAAATTTTTTTGCGCGTATATTTAACTTATATATAGGTATATCCTATCACATGAACGTGACATAAGAATCGATCGGAATCGCGGAAAGTGACAGATTAATTGGAATTAACATGCCGTTTTTTAATTCTCTAACATCTAGTATTGCATATTTGCAACATTTATTTTCCACGCAATAAATACGTCTTCTTAGCTGGCCCCCTCACTTAACCAAGTCTTAATGAATAAGTTATATATAATAATGCGCTATTTGTGCGTTCTCAAAATCCGCAAGAAAAAATTTTTTGCGCTCATTTCGTTTAGCTAAAAAAAATTTTTTTGTGGGAGCTGAATAGGCTGTCAGTCAGCCCTTCCACGTGTTTATAACAACCGATTTGAAAAATCCAATATACAGGATTTATGCGCTATTTATGCGCTTTCATATTCACATAGTTTGAATTTTTGCGCTGCATCCTTTAAGGCACTTCTCTCTTGGAGCAAACAGTCATATTCATCCCTAAGTCGTTTAAAATTGTAAAATTACGCTGTCTAGCTATGCAAAATATAATTTCGATTTATGCGTTATTATTTCCAAGCAATTTCAATTTTTGCGCTACAACCCTTAAGAGACTTTCCTCTTGGAGCTGTTTGCTCATAAATAAAAAAATATACTTTGCACAATTAAAGTATATATTTTCACAATTCTTAATGACTTAGATACGAATATTACTGTTTACTCCAAGAGGGAAGTTCCTTAAAAATTACAGCGCAAAAATCGAAATTGCTTGGAAATAATAGCGCATAAATCGAAATTATATTTTGCATAGCTAGACAGCGTAATTTTACAATTTTAAACGAATAAATTATATTTTGCATAGTTATGTTCATCCCTAAGTCGTTTAAAATTGCAAAATTACGCTATCTAGTTATGCAAAATATATCTTCGATTTATACGCTACTATTTCCAACCAATTTCGATTTTTGCGCTGTAATTTTTAAGGAACTTCCCTCTTGGAGCAAACAGTAATATTCGTATCTAAGTCATTAAGAATTGTGAAAATATATACTTTAACTGTGCAAAGTATATTTTTTTATTTATACGCTATGAATTCACATAGATATTCTGAATTATTCAATTAAATAATTAATTGATTTATAATTTTAACGGCTCTGTATATCGTAGCAGAATACATATTTTTATGGGAAAAAAGAAAGAAATATTATATTTCCATTTTTAACGCGGAAATATAGTAAATTGCAGATGAAATGGACAAATATATGTAAATTGATACATTTTGATTGAATTTTGTACACATTGCCGTTCGGTATAAATTTTTTTTATTCTGGCAACACTGAAGAAAATTAAAAGGTTTCACATTAAGATTTTCAACGTACACGACACAAAAGACCGTTATTGATTGTCGATTCACGAACGCGGCGACTGGCGGGCGAGAAAAGCGAATTACCTACTCTTTGCTCTTGCTGGCGAGGTCCGGGGAAGAAAGGTTTCCCAGGTACTTAGGACTAGCTATAACACCACAGACACATTGCACGTCCGGCGCACCGGTGCACCGCAGCCGTTTTCGTTTTAATTCAAGTGGCACGGCTGGCATTAGCACTCCGTGGAAAAAGGCAGGAACCCGCTGCGCCTGGTGGTATGCAACGGCCGTTCGTCTCGTACACGTGTGCAACGGGCTGACAGTATAACTGCGATCCGCGGTGAAGTCGACGACGTGCATGGACCCTGTGCGTGTGTCCAGAAAAATATTGTCCGCGTTGTGGAAGGCACGTGACGGACGAGACAGGACTGCTTTTAGCTACGTATCGTTCGGTTTTGTTCACAGTTCTATTTGATCGAGTGATCCTGCATCGTGACGTTGTACTTGTATTTCTCCCTGACAATTCTCTCTGCTCGAGATTATTCTGAAAACAGCATCGGGTGTGTGAGAAAGTTTGAATAAGTAAATTAAAAGGCAAAAATTAAATTTCTCTTTTGGATAATAATTATTTATTATTGTATCATTAGAGGAATCAGTAGTTTTAGAAAGGAGAGATGTTACTTTAATATGTAAGTTTACATGATGATTTAATTAAACAAATTTAGATAATAGATATAATAGCCTTTATATTATTATATAGATATTAATTTTATGGAGATATGTATATAATATATATCTAGAAAATCAAAGGAAAATTCTAAGAAAATATATATGTAAATTAAATAAAACTTTTTGGAAAAAAAATTAGTATTAACTAAATTTATAGAATTATTTTCCGTGGAAAGTATCATAATTTTATTTTTAATTCGTAGGATATAAGAATATCATATTCTCTTATAGTTGAATTTTTTAAGGTTTACCGTAACAAAGTGGAAGAAAGTCACTCCATATATAATTCATAATGTAAAAGTTATTATAAAAGGTTTTAAAGAGCTTTAAAAGCTCGCTAGATTGCCAAGTTATAATCGGTGAAAAAAGTTTGCAAGATTTTAATCTCATTCGCCTTCGTAATGCATTTTATTTCGCGGAAAAAACTCACATATGCATATTACATGTATTTTAAAAACAAGTAAATAGGGAAAACATTCTCTCGTAAATATTTCAATATTTTATCTCCGGATCAAATATGCTCAGGATTATATTATAAATCACGCATTAAACAGAGATATGAGATATCATCATAAAAAATACCGTTTTTGTATAAAATGTTTTTAAATTTTGATATATATGTAGTAGATTAAATTACAGATAAAAAATTATATATAGATAAATGATATCTCTATCATTTTTAATAACCTATTTTCAGAATTTTGATATGGAATTTCTGTCTTTTTCTCAAAGAATTATATTCTTGATACATTTCCAAAAATCTTCTGATGCGTGATTAATAAATATAGAAAATAGACATTTAAAGAATATTTACTTTGCGTTTTTGTTAGAAATTGATTATTCTTCTTTTTATTGCAGTATAAAAGAATCAATTCTTTAAAAAATTTCAGAAAAATGAATGGTAATAAATTAAAAATCAGTTAAAATGATTTTCTGATATGTTATAAAATGGAATTATTTTTTATCAAATCTCTTCAATCGGGATCGGTTTGAGCTTCAATATTTTTCGATAAAACTCTCGAAACGTTATCGAGAAATGTTAAGAAAATATTTGCTTTTAGAAAAAAATCTTTCACAGAAATTTTCAAGTTTTTAAAATTCTCTCTGCAGTTTTCTTCTTCAGGAATATAGAATAAGCAAGTGGAATAAAAAAAGAAATAACAAAGTACATAGAATGTGAGAGTAAGGAAAATCAAAGTAATTTTCTGAGTCTTTGATATTAAAATGGAACTTTGTCTTGTTGCAGAAGTCGAGGAGCGCTTCAGCGGGAAGGCGCGCGGCGGTAAATTAGCGCGTCGTGCGCGCTCCTTCAAGGAGGACTTTCTGGAAAAGCTCTCCCACATGCGTTCTCCTGGTAGCGGCAGCGGCGGCGGTGGTGGAGGCAGCGGGGCGGCCACGAGGGCCGCCTCGCCCTCGTCACCGCGTACGCCGCGGGACAAGAACGCCCCGGGCTCCAACGACTCCGGCACCGCTCTGGATAAGAATCCCCTGCGCGACTTGCACATCCACGTACGGCAGGTGCAGCTAGCGTTGCTTCACTTTCGGGATGTCGTATCCAAGAAGAAGCTCGAGATGCTGCCCGGGAACGGCACGATTGTCCTTGATACCGTTACCACGATACACAACGCGTTAAAATCTTATCTGCTCTACGAGAACAGGTGATTATTAAAATAGCTTCATTATCTAATAGTTGTTTTATAGGAGATTATAGAAGAAGTATTAGAACAATTTTTTAAAAGTCACTTTTATTATTTTTTACTTAGTTTATTTATTCTGTTTACTTTATTAAACAATATATTGTGTTTAATTAATGGAGGATTTTGTAACTTTATAGCGAAAAAGAAGTATCTAGATTTAAATTGTAGTATAAGAAAGAATTGATTAATCACGTTTTCTCGATCCTCTATCCTGGCACTTACAGCTCCACATTGGGATCTGCCACGAATCAAGTGTACCAAGCGTTAGCGCAATTGCTGAAACTCTGCGACGATGTGCTGCTGCATGGTGATCAATCTTCCGCTTTGGACACCGAAAACGTGACGCACGTTATTGGACTGGTCGAGGAAGCAGTGAAAAATCTAGTAGCTCTGGCGCATGAGAAAATCGCTAATAAGCAGAAACCCCCGTCTGCTACAAATAATAATAGGTAATTTTATAGTAATATTAAATTTTAGTACAATATATTTCGAAATAGCGAAAAAGAATCGTCATCAAAATAAAAATAGTATATTTTAGAAGTAAATATAATATATGTACGAATTAATACATTGATAATAGAGCTGGGGATTTAATGGGAACAATATAGGAAGTAACATCTAATTATAACATTAATGATGATATGAAACCTTAATATGCTTGATGTATGGAAAGTTATATGTGATTAATTATTAATTATTATTTAATATGAAATGCTTTCACGAATATTATAAAGTGTACATTAATGATGAAATTGGATTTCCTGAATAATCTTTGATATTTCATATGAAGATGATTGAAGGATAAATTATGAATGAAATCGATACAAAATTTGCTCAAAATCCAATATAACGTTCATTATAAATTATAGAACTTCCGGATATGGGTCGGAACTAACACAAAGAAATTCTCTACCGGATATACCGTTGACACCAAGAGAACGGCAGATCTTAGAACAAACGGCAGCAAGTAGTAGCTTGGTTCGCAGCTCGCATAGTTCCGAGTCGATTTTACGGGATTCTAGTCCACCCCCGAAACCTCCTTTACCTGACAGGTAATATTTGTTTCGTTATAAAATGGAGAATAATAAATTACTTGTCATTGGAAGTTGAACGTAGACACGCTCGATCCCTTGTAGAACAAATGTATGTTTGTCGGAGGAAAACAGCTCTTCTGGTACACCTCCTCCGTTACCGCCGAAGAGAAGAACGAGAACTCAACAGCTCCTCGACGAATCAGAGGGTCTTCTGGCATCTAGTCTCGATAGGGTATCCCTCCGAAGTCGATCTCCAGAGGATTCGTCATCTCTTCTGAGCGCATCGGCCGGTAGTTTGGATTCGGCTCTGAATCATTCCCGAGACGAAGATGAGATTCGAGCTATAATGGGACCAAATGACGAATCTTTGAATGACAGTATGGACCTAAGTCTCATGGCTACTATTCAAGGTAATGTTCAAACAATTTATATTCAAATGTTTATTTGTAGTGGTATCATTCGAATGTTCTACATTGAAACTTTATTTTTAATAATATTGCTTAAATATAATTGTTAAAAAATTTTTATGCATGTAATATAATAATAAAGTTATATTGTGTTATATTACATAACATAAAGCGTTTTTTAATGCATACGATATTATCGAGTTTCGCAATTAGACATTAATTTTTTTGGATAATATTTGAAACGGTACTATGAAAGAATGGTCGTAAATACATTGCCATATGCGTAAAATGAATAGTCCATGGTCGACGCTTACTCAGCATATTAGTTTGTCATTCTACTTACCTTGGTTTCTGTGTCAGTTTACAATCGAACGTTCGTTCGAGCTATACAAATAAATTACTACTATTTGTGATTAGAATTAAGTATTTTATTTTAAAAAATCGCGATTATTATGGATCCAAGATTCCCTCGCGCTTTAAATACCCTAGTCATTAATAAGCGGTTGAAGTTTATAACGTTAAGTATAAACTGTGAAGGTATTTTAGAAGTTTTACATAATATTGGATACATAGCGTACTAATGAAATAATTAATTTTTATGCTATTTTTATAAAGTAAAAACTATTATTAGTACTTCTTGGGAAGAATGTGTGTATTATTATTATTATCTATTTTTTAAATATTAAACTGAGTTCGTGTTTGTGTGTTTATTTTTTATATTTGTCATGATGATATTAGATTGCAGGTTTTCTGCAGAGTAACGTATATTCTGTATTCTTGTAGGCATGCAAGTTAATGGTACATCAAACTGTAATTGCTGGGATGGTTCTGAAACTAATATACCAAGTACTATGTTGCTAGGTCAACAAACACCTCAAGAAATGCTTAATCCATTTACTGGTGTGTAAATTTTTTACTATTAGAAATAATATATTTTATTATGAGAATAAATAATTTACTTATGTGAGAGAGAGAGAGAGAGAGAGAGAAGATCGATTAATCAGTAATATTGGTCAATTAATAATTAAAATTACATACGTGTTGCAATAACAAGCTAAGAAAAATTTATTCCAGTAACATAAATTAACAGAACATTTAAAATTATTTATTGTTTTTGTTGTTGAGTTACATAACTTTTTTATTTACTCAAGTATTTCCAATTATTTACAAACATTGAAAAAGGAAAAAAAATGCGATGCTAAAATTACGCAAGAATTCTGAAAATAGTTAGTGGAACAAGTTGCGTAGGTAGCATCAACCTTCCAGCCGCGTGAATAAACAGTATCGTATAGATTTTCACCCAAAGCACAGCGAAATCAAGCGAAAGCATTCTTTTTTTTTCATTCATCGTAGTGGTAGCATAGATATTTTGTGAAATGTCACGTAGATCTAATTTTAGTTGGAAAAATGTTAAAATGTTTTTTCGTAAGAAAATTTGACAACTTTTGTGAATTTATTTATGATGTTTTTTTGCTTTAGATTCTGAATAAGCTTGGTTTCAAATTAATTTTGTTTTAGGTATAGAAGGAAAGATGGAGCGATTGTCTACACAAACGCAGGAATCAGGCTTTGTTTCTATGCATTCTCAACGAAGTTCATCTCAAAGTTATACCACCGCGTCCAGCTTGACATCCAAGAGATCGTCGCAGCAGAGCAGCATTAGTTATAATTCTCAATCGTTTAATGCACAGCAACAGTCGTTTTCTCAGACCAAATTATCATCGGACAGTAACGGCTCTATTTTTACACAGAAGACGATGAGTAGTTCCAAAAGTACTATTAGCACGACTAACGTGTCTGGAAATGGGGACCCAGCTTTATTAGAAAAACTGGTAAATGTGGGTGTTGTTATGTTTTATGTTTCTGTTTTATTTTTATTTACTTTTATGTGCTCTAATTTTTTAATAATTTAATCATTTGATGTATCTATGATATATACAGGAAATGGAATCGATAGTTACATCCGATTCTAACGGAGCGCCTCCAGCATTGCCAGAGAAGCGATCCAAGCGAAGAAAAGAACGACAGCCGTCACAGTATGATAATGTACCAGAAAATGAGCATTTATCCACATGTACTTTGCATACAAGTAACGGAGATAGTCTGGATACCAACAAACCACCTCCTCTGCCTTTAAAGAAGCGGCATAGTAAGTAATCTTTTTATTAATTATTAATATCAGTAATGAGACAAAAGACATCAGCAGAATACTTAATAACATTGATAATTGATGCTTTATTTTTTCACTGTCAATTTTAAGATACACGAATTTTGAAAAATATTGCATTAATAAATACTCGCGAGCTAGTGTAATAATTTTGCATAATAATTATAATCTTTACGTTTAATTAATACAATCTATCAACACGCAAGTAATACCAAATAAAATAATATATTAGACATTCCAAATTATCTTTTGGTAGTAGGTTAAAACTGATGCAATGTTTTGTATCCCCTAGTGTTCCAATCAGTGGCATATTCTGGTAAGTGGGATCCTGCCCACATAATTCAACTACCCCTTCAGCAAATATTTTCACGCTAAGTTAATATCCTATGTTTCACATATTTACATTCCAGGCTTCTCTTGCGGCATGTTTACTGTTCTATTTTTATTAATTATTATATTTCTTTTCATCCTTAATATTTTTAAAATATAATATTGTTTGATATTGAGCTTGAATTTTTATTGATAATTGCAGCTTATTCTTGGCTTATTTTTAATTTAATATAATAGATATAATAATGCGGAAGTTTTTGCTATGATGCTAAATATTATACTAATTAAAAAATATATTTTTTGATTGGTATAATCTATAATATCATATACATCAATATATTGTATACACATATTACACACACATAATGATTAATACCATTAATACTATCTATTTATTTTATATTTGTGCAATCTATTTGCACATTTGGTCTATTAAGATTTCATATTATACATTAAAAACTATATTTTTATTAAAAACTACATTTTTATTATGTAATTTAAGGACAGATACCAATACATTTTTAATATTTAAAATGTGAAAAATTTTGCGAGTTTTATACAATTCATTAACACAGATGAATGAAAGGCAGTTCTGGCGAGTTTATGTAGGCGTCGTGTTCTTTTTCTAATTACTTTGACCTCTCTCACTAATAGTCAGTTAATAGTTACACTTCATCAGCTGTTGAACAGACTTAAAGTTTAGTTTTCTTTCTTACGTTAAGACAAACGGACTTAAAATTAAAGAACGCAGTGAATACTAAAGTATAAGAACTGTGTGTTAATGTGAAGCCTTCTTAATTTGTATACTTTTAATTAAATCTGCAATTACTAGAGCACTTGTTTCTATCGTGCAATAACACAAATTGAGTGTAATAAGTGGATATAATATCTATAGCCATACGTAAAATGTTGTTTAAAAGATTTCACTTTCATTCCAGTGAGTTTCTCATTTTTACACATTGCTTATCGAAATAATAATTACACAAGATTTGTTTGTGCATCAGTGTTTTCATGCAATCCATATATATACCACGTGTTTTAATATTTTATTGCAGTACACATCTCGTGCTTGCATTTATCGATTGTATTATACGCCATTTTAAAAAAGCCGTTTTTTATAGAATAATTTATAATAACAATAGTTATTTTTTAAATAAAATTTACGTTAATTTATTTACTTGCACGTATTTCAGTTATGGCGTACATGGAGATGTTCGGGAACTGCTCCCATAGTAATAATGATTTCATCTCTGGTCTTGGTACCCGTCATTCTGTAGCAGCTTACAATTCCATGCAAGCAGAATGGCAACAACACGAGATGTCTCTTACTACAACCCAATCGTGTTCCTTCATGACGCACACCGTGACTGCTCTACACGATAACTCAAGGTATTATTCTATAAGTTATATCGTTTTTGTTATCGTTATTTACTTTTTCTATAAAGATACTTTAGCACATATTGTTAAAGAAAATAGAATCATCATGAGGTCGTATTTTATCTAGCCTTTCTGTAACTACGACGCCGAGCTTAGTAGAGACAACAAATAATTCTAGTCTGCCTCCGGCATTACCACCAAAGAGATCTCGTTCCATTAAATCAAACATTACACCTCCACCAATATCACCAAAACCAACCATTAGCATGCAGAGTATTCATAATTTGGATCCTCTTGTGACGTCAACACCTCTAAAAACGGAGGAGCCAATACATGAAAAGAAAGATCTTACACCTTCCACTCCAGTAAAATTGGTAAACATTAATGTAATAATTTTACTATTGCGTTATTATTATGGAATTATAATTGTATAATAGTTATTAAGTATTATTATAATTGTAATGATTTTATTTCAGAATAATAATGTTATTATGGATACAGTATTATCATCGTCCAGACCTGCTAGTAATGCACTTTCTTCCATATCAGTTGATGAAAATACTCTTGAGCTAAGAGATATTGATCAAGATGATAGCATTTTAGATGAATTAGATATTAACAAATACTTAGTATTAAAAAAACCAGATGAAGAAGGTCCAGATATACGTGGTGGACATCCGGATGCATTATTAATCCACGCGACAAAAGCAAATAAACATGGTATATACATTTTCTTAATTCATTAAACTTAAGATATATGAAGCTTAAAATTTTTATGAGTAATTTGATTTTATTAAAATAAAAATATAATTTTAAAAAAATATGCTTTATTATATTATTTATTTATCTTTTCATGCTGCATAGATGAAAAAGAATCAGGTAATTGATGAAATATTTAAAGTACGATATTGCATATAAAAACGATAAATATAATAAAAATTATAGATAAAGGTGGATGAATTCAATTTTAATAAAGACAATGCACTTTTTGCAGATTTCCTGTATCAAGAAGCGTTTTTAACGACGTACAGAACTTTCATACAACCATTAGAATTAATTCGTAAACTACATAGACGTCATCAACGTTTTTCATGTTCTCCAGATGTTGTTAAACAAAGAGCCGCACGTGAAGCATTTTCTTTACTTGTTAGAGTCGTAAGTGATTTAACGTAAGTAGAGACTCTGTTATCTATATTAATTACGCGCTCATATTCTTATAAAGTTTGATTGCGATTTATAATATAACTATTTACAGAATATCTGATCTTGATGACATTCTTCTGCAAACTTTAATGGAATTTGTACAGCAATTAGTGTGCAGCGGAGATCTCACTATGGCCAAAGCGTTGCGAGTTAAAATTTTAGAGAAGCACACTATGAAGCAATTACAAGCAGCACAACCAATTCTCTCGTCTCTAAGTGTTACAACGAAACAAGCTTCCCTATTAGATTTTAAAAGCGAACAAATTGCGGAACAAATGACACTACTTGATGCCGATTTGTTTATGAAAATAGAAATTCCGGAAGTGTTAATTTGGGCGCAAGAACAGAACGAAGAGAGAAGTCCGAATCTTACAAGATTTACTGAACATTTTAATAAAATGTCATACTGGGCACGATCTAGAATATTAGAACATCGATTAGAAAATGAAGCGAAGGATAGGGAAAAATATGTTGTAAAATTCATTAAAATAATGAAGCATCTTAGGAAAATTAATAATTTTAACAGCTATCTCGCATTATTATCTGCATTAGATAGTGCACCTATTAGGAGACTTGAATGGCAAAAGCACATTACGGAAGGTCTCAAGGAATATTGTGCTCTTATTGATAGCTCTAGCAGCTTCCGAGCTTATAGACAAGCTCTAGCAGAAACACAACCGCCATGTATTCCTTACATGTAAGAGTATAAATATTTGTTGTTGCTCAAAAAATATGAAAAATTTCATTTATCAAAAATGTATGTTTCTCTTGTTTTAGCGGACTTGTTTTGCAAGATCTTACATTTGTGCATATTGGAAATAGTGATTTATTACCAGATGGCACTATAAATTTCTCCAAGAGATGGCAACAATTTAATATTGTTGAAAATATGAAAAGATTTAAGAAAGGGTAAGTGTTTGCACCACAAATCATTAATAAATCTTAATGTTATAAGTATTACTATAAATGTGATTATTCTTTTACAGCACGTACTCTTTCAAGAAACACGAACGCATTATGACGTTTTTCAACAACTTCAGTGATTTCCTCTGTGAGGAGGCGATGTGGCAAATTTCCGAGAGCATCAAGCCACGTGGTGGCAAGAAAGCACAGCCGCAAAACTAGAATATACCTAACCCTTTCACTGCCTGCGTCTCGAAAGGTTGAAACGGTGAATTAGGAAGTTTATATTTATGTAGGTATATACTTTTTGCGGAAAAAAATAAACAAGAAAAATTCTAGAACGCTCTAAGAGCGGTGAAAGGGTTAGCGAGTCTATCCCTATCCCATTCGACAGCCTCTGTGAGGTTGTCTTATATATTATTAAATCACGTGAAAATTTTAGTACGCAAAACTGTAAACTCCATATTTAGCACATTCAATATGACATAATGCGTTATTTAAAGTAATTACACTTGCGAGCATCAATCAGAAATTAAAACGCCAAAACTCGGATTGACTAGAGAAAATTTCGATACGTAAGTAAACTTGATATTTAACCCAGTGCATTTTAAACAATCTTTCCGTTTGCTACAAATCAACATAACGTATTTACTATGAGGATATGCAATCTATACTTAACTACAAGCTGTAACGATGTTTATCATAATGTTAATGAAAGAAACCCCGATCTTCAGCTATTCTAGATATATTTTATTTATTTGCCTTTGCTAGCGAATTGTATAAAGTAGTACGTGTTCTTTTTTTTTCTTTTTAATTTATTTAGATGTATGTGAATGTCCATTTCTAGCTTTATGTAGGTAAGCGAGTTTTTGAGCGTCAACAGAACACTGTTGATTACACAAGGATGAACACCAATTACGTTGATTAATGTAGGGCCATTGTAGTCTCGTGTTTGCGCTCTAGTACGCGCGTATCGGGACACATGGTACGACTGAGTGCAACTGTTACATATACTATTGTATATGATGATAGAGAAAACATTTTTTTGTTGGCAACTTGTTAATAGGTCTCCAAGCTTTCAGCTTTAAATCACATGACTTACTTACAATTAGCGATTAGGTGAATTAAATATGAACTAAATAACAAAAAATAAATTAAATACGAATTTGATTTAATTCAATATCTTATCATAGTTATATAGATAGTTCTCTTAAAAAGTCCCAGTGTGATCTCTTCAAAATTGTGAACATTAATTTTTATTTATACATTCCGTAGATCAAAGGGAAGAATCGAATTCATTTTTTTGCTGTTGAAAATATGCTGTATTTTTTTGTATTTTGTTGCTTCTTTTAATATTTAACAGATATTGATACAGCTTTTACTCGTAGATATAATGGTATGAGAAATTTTGCCATATAATAATTTAGCAGTTTGCATGTGTCGTCTTAAAGATTGAATCAAGTGAATGAATCCGCCTTTTTGTCCTTTTCAGTTTATTATTTGGCAAAATTATACTTTATATTTTTTTTTGTAAAATAGTAAACGCATCACATACATACACACACACACCACAGTTATAATTTATTGATTCTCAATCTTCATCTTTGATGTGCATATGCACATGTATAATATCAAGATTTGTAATTGTTAGTGATACCTACAGCAACAAAAAAGGCCTAAACATTTAGTTAACAATTGATGTTCTAGTACGGGTAATAACAATCCAGACAAATTAATTGCCAGGATAAATACGCGAAATTTTAAAAAGTAGTTCTAAAGCTGCCATATATATATGTAAAGAGTTAGTATCAATAGATTGAATTCTACAAAGCAAACTTTTATTCACAATTTAGATAAAAGATAAAATTTAATCTCTTTATTCTCAACAATTGATTACATTTATTTGATATTTATGACAACTGCGTATGAGAAAGAAAAATTCCTGATTAAAAATTAATGTGATAAAATTGGCTAATATGCAGTGTAAGCGAAATTGTATATAAAATTTTGTTTATTTATGTCACTTATTGGCAACGTAAAATGATTGTTTGTAGAATCTTTTGGAGAAATAATTAGCTACACGCATGATATGTAATACGTATGTAGCAGCGATAGTATATATAATATATATTAGTATTACTTACTACATAAATCGTAAATGTTTAGTTCACATCGTGCGTGAGTGAATGCAAGTGTACGTCTTATGATTTTGTCCACTCTAGCTAAAATCAAATGATTTACTCGAGGTAGGAAGTAAACAGAGATCTATTAACGTTGTAAATAATTTAATTGTACACATAATTGAATTTTCGCGCGAGTATTTACTATTATATCGATAATTGTAAATGTACAGTTCATTGTGTTGAACTAGTTTACTGTAGGTAATCTAAGTTGATCGAGAATCATTGTGATGTCACGTTAGGTTCGCAAGTAGCGCACATGCATAATTTTTTTTATATTGTCCTTATTCAGTTACGAGTTAAATGGCAAGCGAGGCATGCAGTCAACTTGTATTTTATCTATTTTTTTTTCAATCTTTGTTAGATTATTTTCTTGAGGCAGCTATATTTTTACATATAGGCTTTTAATGACATCTTTACCTTCCGGTGTTGATATACAACTGATGTTTATATATTTTGTACGATATTTTTGGAAATTCTGGCGATAGTCGAAAGGCCTTCCTAAGACTATTGTACGTATCGAAACTGTATCATAATTTCTACAATCGCGCGAAAATTTTGTTAGACTATTGGCAGAATTTCCCCTTTACTATATTACATACGAATATATATATATAAAGTAAATATATAATTTTAAGTACTGTATTACCAAAATACGAGTGAGATGATCCATTAAATGTGCAACGAAGAAATTAGACTCGATTTATCAATTTAGATAGGCCAATTAAGCTGCTTCGCGAGTATAGGAAATTGAATTGCCAAGAAGAACGGAGGAACAATTACTGCAATTGCTTTCTTCTCGCGCTCGATACACGACTATAAACTAGAATAGGCGAGTAACGTGGCTGTATCTTCTTTTTCTATCGTTTGCTAAATGTTTTTAGCTTCGGGGGAACAGTCTGTAACGGAAATGGACTCTAAAGAGCAATCGCTGTTAACTTTAAAGTTACGAATACGTGTAATTTATTGCATATACTCGGACTCTAAGGCGAGGTTTATTTATAAACTCTCGAGGATTCAATCGTAAAATATTTATTGCATTGTGTATATATATGTATGTGTTGTTAATCTAGTCTAACAATACGAAACGAACCGCGTTGTCAATATCTCAACGTACATTTCAGCGTTTAAAGTTCTAAAGAAAAAAAACAAAGGTTTTTCCACGTCGGAAAACGGGCTTGCGTCGGAATTGTTTGGCCCTCCCTCCCGTTGCGTGTTGGGCTTCCCTTTTTCTTTTCGACCGGGCGTGTATTTTGCGCGCGGCTCGAAACTCTGATGGAATCGAATCAAATAACTCTCGCCGAACAAATGGATTAACGTTTTTCTGCGTGTATCGTCGAAGTGGAAGGTAATAAAACGAGGAACCCACGCAAACCGTCGCGGGCAAAGAGCGCGGAATCCGTACTCTTTGAACGATGTCCCGCGTCGTTTTCGGCCGGTCTTCGTCCGTAGCGAATACCGAATAAGTAAACTGAAATAAGTAATAATCGCTATCGATGTGTTTTACCAAGTCCTTCGTCGAAAGATTACATGTATGTAACTTTGCACTCGCGTAGATCTCACGGTAAATATTTAGGAAATATCACGCATACATAGAAGTACGTATTGACGCTTTTCATTGATTTATGTTTTGTATTTATTGCGCAGCGATAAAGATGACATATCCGTAAAACGCTACTTATAGAACGGTAATTATTAGAGAAAGAAGAAGAAAGTGAGTAAGATGTGTGTATTAAAATAGTGTCTATAATAATACAACTTCAATGGTCCAGAAATTGATTCAATTGCTTATATCGTGTAATTGTAAACACGATAACGATCGTAACATAAATTTTTTGTTATATATACATATATATATTTATACAGGATGTTTTAGAAATAAATCGCCTTTAGCATATTTTAGCTTATTATAAGAATGAAAAAAATCATATAAACATGAATTGAGAAACGCTTCCTGTCCAAATTATGTTTTTTATTTATAGCAGAATTTTTTGATAATAATTATACCAATCGGATTGGTAAATGAGGATCATTGCATGATTCGCACGTTATAAATTCTTGCCGGTTTAAATTCTTTGGATTTTTATTTATAAGAACATTTTAAAACTCGATGCTCTTGTTACTCTCTCTGCAGTGGAAATTCTCAAAAATTATATCGTTTCGCGTTTGATAAAATAAAAAATTTTTTAATATTTTGAATGATAGTACATAAGATGTATATATTATTGCGAAAGAAAGATGTTCTAACAATCTCTGACAATTTTTACGATAAACAACAAGTATTTATAATTTGGAAAGCAGAGAAGGCAATAGGAAATCACTCTGATTATTATTTCCCAGGATCTCGCTGTGAACAGGGAAATTTAAAATAAAAGGGTCCTTAAATCCAGCTCTTCTTTGATGGACAAGTCGGAACAATTTTCTTGATCGTCAATGTCAGGGAGACTTAAAATGACAGTGAAGAAAAATTAAGAAAAAAATATTAAAACTTATATATTTTCAGAAAAAATGTTTTCCAACTCACATTCATATATGTATGTATATACATATGATCTTTTTCTCGTTCTTATTATAAATAGAATATGCTCCTAAAATTTTGCCGCTTATTTCTAAAACATCCTGTAAACAGACATACACGCAGAGTGCAGAGGAAACAAATTACGTGCATTTCAAAAAATCACGATTGTTAACTGCGTTGAGAGGTGTTTTAATTAAAAGTATAAAGTTAATTATAATCTGAAAGAAGTGACTTTTCAAGGTGCGCATACAATCCAACGTGGAGGATACAGATCTAAGTTTGCGTCCAGTATCCGGACGTCTCCGTGGAACAATAGTCAATAAAGAAATTAGCAATTCAATCGGAACGTAAAAAGAGAAACGAAAGAGAAAGTATAGCGGTATAATAAAGTCGATGTTTCAAGCGCTCACATTTTGAATATAAGCAATATCTCGCTGCATTTAACAGGTAATTCCCTTCGGGCTCGGTGTCATATGAATACAGCTACTTCGCACCAGGCGACAATGGGATTGCAACTCTTGGAATTTATTAAAATGTACATCATATACCGCGATGCAAGAAGGGATCCGATCGAGACACGTTCTCCTCGATCGCTTTCCAATTGACGGCGTTGAATCTTTGTATACTCGTGATAACGCGTATATTCAATATTCGTATATCTCTCAGAAGCATACAGGGCGTACTTTTTAAACCGTTTAAACGTGTTGAGAGGAAGGCGAACATGTGGCGACGGAGCACCATTCAATATTTTACGGAATATATATGTATCATTCGTAAGGATTTACGAAACTGTGCACCATAACGAGGTATATACAATTGTCGAGAAAAAAAAACGGAAGCGAACAATTGATTAAGCATATCAAATAAGTACGTGATATTACTAAGTGTCACCACGACGTCCCTCTTGACTGTAACGATATAGCCGTGGCAAGTTTCAACAGAGACACACGGATGAAATATACATCATGCTCACACGCGTTTTCATCATATGTATAACTTTATTCCGTAGCCTATCGTCATATTTTTCTATCTGTATTTTTTAGTACGGTCCATACATCGCGACGTGTACTTCACGGGTACGAAGGATACAATTTGTATTCGGACGATCTTTCCATGTCGACGCAATTAATGTCACTTCGCGAAACTTGTATATCTTACGCAGATATATATTTTTCCTCTTTCCTTTGTATTACGGACGATTTGTGTGCGTAAAGAGTTTTGGATCAAATGTTATTGCTTTCTTTGTAATGAATGTACGAAGAAATGAAATAAAAATGTGTTAGTCGATGGTATTTTTGCAGTTTTGTAGCCAAGTGCGTTCTTGCTTATCTCAATAGAAGCAAACAAAGAGAAATCACTGTACTGGAGAACCTGGAGAACCAAAGATTTATAACTGTTTACATGTGTGATGTCTATCTATGTAATA